AGTAAATTATATATAATACGAAAATGATTAGCAAAGTTTTAAACAAATAAATAACTAAATAAGTAGAGACTAGAGATTAATTACTCACAAAATAAATAATTAAATGCAAACAAATAAATAACTAAATGAAAAGTGAGTTGGAACGAATGTACCAAACGTCTACTTAAAAAAGTAGACGTGTATGACCGGAAGCCGAAAATTGAAAGTTGAATTTTGAAGCTCCAATTTCCAAAGATCAAATTCATAATTTTAACGAGAATAAGAGAATTTAGAGAGTAGAGAGTAGAGAGATTAGAAGATATTTTTGTGAGTGAAAAGAATGAAAGATTAGGGGTATTTATAGTTAAAAAAAAGGATGAAAATGTAGTTTTAAGAAGTTTGGGGTATTAAAAAAAGTTTGGGGGGTAGGGAGGTGTAAAGGGGGGTTATGGGGGTGAAAGAGCCGTTGGTGGGGCCCAAAAACTCGTTGCCCAACGGCTCTCAACGACTATAATTTGAAATTTCAGATTAAAAATAAAAAAAACTGATCGAACCGGGCCGGAACCGGGACTAACCGGACCGGGACGGATCGGTAAATCCCGGTTTCCGTCCCGTTACCCTCCCAGACCGGTACAATACCGGATCTAGCCGGTACTATCCGGAACCGAGACGGAATCGGTAACGGACCGAAACGGACCGGAACCGGTACCAGTACCTCCCGGTTCCATTGCCAGCCTTAGTGGGCTGTTTAGTTGAGGAGAATGTGAGGGAGTGGGAGTGTATGGGAGTAGGTTAGTGGGGTAAGGGTAATGGGTAAGTTATTTTTTTTATTTTTTTTTTGTTGTTAATAGATAAGAATATAATAATAATAATAATATTAACTAGGAAAAATTAAATAACTAGATCAAAAAATATAAAAATTAAAATCACTAATTTATTATTAAAACTTTGAATAAATTAAAAACAAAATGTACCTTAAAGTGTGATTTTATTTTTGTAGTTTTCATATCTTTTAAAATAAAATTAATAAAATAAGATAAAATTCAAAAATATTTAATTTACATTTTTAAAACATTTAAACTCTAAAAAAATGGTGTAAAATTTTAGGTTCGGTAAAACATTAAGTGTCTATATATATATATATATAATTTTAATTAATAAAATCGACATCAAGAGGTGAGTTTATATTAAAATAAATTAATAAATACCGACCTTAAGAGGTCGGTATATTTAAATTATCATTTTATTTAAATAATATCAACTTTACAATGTTGATATTTATTAAATATTTTTAAATATAAATAATTATTTTAAAAAATATCGACATTCCGTGGTCGGTAAATTAACACTTCTTTGAAAAAAAAAATGATAAGCTCAAAACCCTAAAACCCTAAAACCCTGTCATCTTTTTCTCTCCTAACCTCTCGCACTCCTCTCAACCCCGACCTACGCCCGACCGGCGGTCACCCCCACCCATCCCCGACCGGCGTTACAGGTCGAGCCACCCATCCCCGACCGACGCTGCAGGTCGCTCCACCTCGTTCAACAGCAACATCAACAGCGCAGACCGGCGGCAGCAGCAGCGCGTGGCTGGCAGCTGCAATCTCCGGCAACAGAGGGAGTATACATCTGGTGGTTTGGGCTTAACTCCAAGGTATGCCTTTTTTTTTTCTTTATACCTCTGATGTTTCATGAGTTCATTTTGTCTCGTTTTTCCTAAAGATGATTTCTCCTGCAGTTGCAATATTGGTGAGGGAGGTATTGCTCTTGCTGAGGCCGTGCAATCAGGGAGGTTCAGCTCCTGATATTGCCGTAAAGGTTTGTATTAAAATAGGATATCATGTCCCATGAGAATATTGCTTTACATTTATAGCCTGGTGCTTCTATAATTAGAATCTCATTTATCCATCAACTATTACCAAGTTCAATCAATTATTGGGTGGGTATCATCGGGTGTGCTAGTTGAAAATTGTTTACTGTTTAATGTTTGTATGCACTGCTTGTGAAGCAAAAATGAAAAAAAGGAAGAAATGGCTTAAGGAGCGAATAGACTAGCATTTGTTTTCTTTAGCTTCCCTCAACACCCTTTTAGCTTTACTGTATTTCTATGTCCAATTCTTCACTTCAATGAACACATATCTCTAATCTTGATTTTGTGGTTTTGGGAATTTTATTTCGAGTAAAAATTGTGTTTTTTGTTTTCTTTTCTTTCCATTGAGTTTTTGATGATCAAGATCAGTTTTTGAAGTTTTTTTGGAGTTGGGTTTTGGTTTTTACTATGTGGGGTTTCTAATAATAATGTTTTTACAAGGTTATGATTTTTGTTTTTGAGTGGCTTGGTAGTTACCTTCAGTTTAACTCTTTGTTTTGATGGATTTTTATGAAGTTGTGGGTGTCATGGTTGACTTGTAATCATTGTTTTTCCTTAGATGAAAATTGTTTACTGTTTAATGTTTGTATGCATTGCTTGTGAAGCAAAAATGAAAAAAAAGAAATGGCTTAAGGAACAAATAGACTAGCATTTGTTTTCTTGAGTTTCTCTTCCAATTTGTGTTTGAGTGAAATGATGGATTTTGCTGGCCTTGACCAATTTGGGATTTATTGAATCTTTTTCTAGGGTTGATTTTGCGGGCTAGGCAACTGAGGAAGCTCAACATCTAAAAAAGTTGATACAAGCTTCTTTCATCAAAGTAGGAGATAAGGTTTGGTATTTCTAAATTTTATAATGTGTTTGTGTCCATCTAGTATTGATACTTAGCTTTTAATTTTGTGATTAATTTGTTTGTGTCCATCGAGTGTTTGTTTAGCATAAGTACCAACACTAGTTGTTTAATTTAGTAATAAAATTGATTTTCTTTTAAGATTGATTTGTGTCCATCTAGTGTTGATATTAAGCTTTAATTTAGTAATAATGTGTTTGTTATGCATAAGTACCAACAGTAGTTGATCCTATTGGTGACAAAATTGATTTTCTTTTAAGATTGATTTGTGTCCATCTAGTTTTGACACTTGGCTTTAAATTTAGAAATAATATATTTGTTAAGTATAAGTACCAACACTAGTTGATGACAAAATTGATTTTCCTGCAAGATCGATTTGTGTCCATCTAGTGTTGATATTAAGCTTTAATTTAGTATTAATGTGTTTGTTATGCATAAGTACCAACAGTAGTTGATCCTATTGGTGACAAAATTGATTTTCCTGCAAGATCGATTTGTGTCCATCTAGTTTTGACACTTGGCTTTAAATTTAGAAATAATATATTTGTTAAGTATAAGTACCAACACTAGTTGATCCTATTGATGACAAAATTGATTTTGTGTCCATCTAGTTTTGACACTTGGCTTTAAATTTAGTTGGTGGATTTAGTTGTTGGAATTAAGTCAAAACTAAACTAGTTAAAGTTATAAAGTTGTTAAGTTGTTTAAATAAGTTCAAATAAATAATATGGTTTAGTTGGCGGATTTAGTGTTGGAATTAAGTCAAAACTAAACTAGTTAAAGTTAAAAGTTGTTTAAATAAGTTAATATAAATAATGTGGTTTAGTTGGTTGTTTTTGTCATTCATGACATGAATAACCTTGTAATGTTCTAATAACATTTCTTGACTAATGGCATGAATTAATCCACTTTTACCCTTTACTTAACTATGGTTTATTCTCCACCAGTGGAGACACGTTTTGCGGGAATCATGGGTTGGTTAGTTAACTAACTATGGTTTAAAAATTTGGAAGCATCTGGAATAATGGATTTACAACCGTTAGGTTATAAATGAACGGTTAGGATGAATTGAAGATGGTGACGTGGAGGTATGTGATTAGAAAATGACGTGGCATGGTCAACGGAATGTGTGAATTTCCCAAAATATCCCTTATGGGGACCACAAAGATATATTTACCTTTTACTTGGAGTTAAAAATTGAATTTTATTAGATCAATTAAATGAAGTTGATATTATTATGTTATGATTTAATTATTATTTTTTCTCACTAGTCTTTATAAAAATAATCTGATGTTTTTTTTTTTTTTTTTTTTTGGTAATTAAAATTTTATTTACCAAAGTGAACATTACACACTGGAAAAAAACAGCAGACTTGGACATACATGCTCCAAGACTTGCTGAAACATCACACTCTATCTATCAGCCTTCTCTCACAGCTTCTCTCCTAAGGGTATACATTGAGTTCTTGAAGTCTGTTGCCTATCTTCCCATAATGGGATCCTCTTCCATGTACATCTCTAATGATGTGTCTAATCATGAACTCCTCATTTCTCTGTTTGAACTGAAAGATTCTGTTGTTGCGCTCTATCCACACATGATAGATGGTTCCTGCCATAACCATCCTATACACCTTGGCTTTGCTAGTGTTGCTCTTCATATGTGTTGTTGCCCATTGTACTTCTTCATGCCACTTCCCTCCTGTACGTTGTATTCCTTGCCAAGCTAGCAGCTTCTTCCATATTCCAGCAGTGAACATGCATGCAAAAAAAAGGTGATCGATATCCTCATCCTCCACTTGACATAATGGACATGTCAAATTAGATGTTACTCCCCATTTTGCCATTCTATCTTTCGTTGACAACCTCCTATTTAGAGCTAAATACAGTATGAACAACCACTTTGGTGCACCATAGTTGGACCATATCAACTTTCTCCACTCCACTTTCTCCCTATCTCCTCTCATCTTTTCATAAACCTTCTTAATAGAGTACTGTTCCATTTGCTGTAAACTATGCTCATTGTAGCCAGCAGCTTGAAGATGTTTATGAGCTTTAAGAATTCTTTGTACCAGCCACGAAGCTTGATTTGCTTGAATGCCCCAAATTCCTCTTTGCCCATAGTAACTATGTGTCCATTCCACCCATAATTTATCCTTTTTCTTACAGAGATTCCATAGTAACTTTCCAATAGCTGCATTATTCCAAATAAACACATCCAGGAAATTCAAACCTCCACTTGCTTTAGGCCAACATAGCTTCTCCCAGGATATTAATGCTTTCTTTGATGCCTCCACACTACCTGTCCACAAAAACTTTCCACATAGACTCTCAATAGCATGTAGGATCTTCTTAGGAAGTGCAAAGATTTGTGCCCAAAAAGTTTGTATAGAAAACAAGACAATCTTCACCAATTGAGCTCTGCCAGCATATGAGAGGAATTTATTTATGATTTATTGAGATAATTTTATCTATATATTATCAGAGGAAAATTAAATAGTATCTTAAAAGAAAGAGACTTTGTTGTCAAGTAATTAACTAAATTTATTTTTGAAGATTAGTGTGAAAGAAATGTCTTCATTGACTAAGATATTGTCTAAATTCTTTCACTGAATAACAATGTAAAGAAAATGTGTCTAAATTCTTTTTCTAGAAAGTTAATATGTCTAATATCATAAACAAGTTTTTATTTATGACTTATCTTTACCAATAATTTGATATTATCTTAATAATGTTAAAAGAAAATGCGAATAGTATCCCTATTTATTAAGAAATTAACAAATTTTATTTTTTTGGATATTAGTGTGGAGGAGATGTCCAGTCATTTCTTTGAATGGTACATTGTGATTGAATTGTATTATATTATATAGGAGATAAAGTCAAGAAAATTATTGTTGAATTAGTGAAAAGTTTTATTATAATAAACATAAATCTTGTTAAAAATAGCGAGATATCTATTTGCGTCTCAACCAAAGGGGGGCAAAATGAGCAGCAAGTTGGCAGTAAAAATAAAGTATTACAACTAATTCTCAAAGTCTTATCTATCTATCCAAAATAAAGAATCTCAAACTATTTACAGAAAGTATATTGGGGGATATTATAAGATTTTGTTATAATTATTATTATAAAAAAATTAGTGCAACATTTAAATAATAAGATACTGGCTATGGGTAGTACATCAACTTTAATATAAACTGCAAGAAGTATATAATATACTATATATTAAACTCGATTCGTTGGATTTAGTCAAATTAACAATAAAGGTTATTAATTTCCTTTTCGTCAGACCTATTAAAAAGCTAGTAATAAGTTGATTTTAAAACTTTACAACATTATTTTCTTTGTCTCAAATTATTTATCGTGTTTCTTAAACTGATATAATGTACATCTCAAAAAAATATTACTCCCTCTGTCCCAATTTATATGACTCACTTTCCTTTTTGGTCAGTCCCAAAAAGAATGACACATTTCCTTATTTGGTAAATATTTAATGACATTATCCCTATTTTACCCTTCTTGAATCTCTTTATTTCAATAGTTGCACTCTTTTAATTTAAAGAAAAAGTTATTGAAATGCAGTAAAGTACAACTACTTTTCTCTTTTTGCTAATAGTCAACAATGCTTTTACACTTTTTTCAATATTTGTCATAACTCATTCTGTCTTTTCACCATTTTATCATATTATTTTTTTCTTTTACACTATTTATAGAATTGTGAAGTACTCCGTATGTGAATGTAATTTTATTTTTATTTTAAAAAATTAAAGAATGTACAATCAAAAGTTGTCCTCACTTAAAAAAAAAATTGATGAATGTTTCTTCTTTTTTCTTATTAGCTAATATTTTAAACTTTGGCAAAAAAATTGGCGCTAGAAACTGAAAATTTTAATCTTTTCCCACATTTTTTTTTTATGTTATCAATTTTTTGAAACTATAATTAAAATCATGAAAAAAAAAAACTACTTTTACCTGCAATGGCAAAAACTCAATCATTTTGGAGTCTTTCTTCTTCATTGAAAGATTTAAGGGGAGAGATAATGGAGAATGGAGAGTGGAGAAGAAAGAAGAGAGAGAAATAAATATATTGGATTCTTTTGGATTTATATTAATGACTGATGTGACATTAACTTATGAGAGAGAGAAAAGTCATAAACTTTTCTATTCAAAGTGAGATATAGTATTTTTTTTTTATTTAAAAATTTAGACTTATTAATAAGGGTATTTTCGGAACATTGTAGAGTCTTTCCATTTTTCTTAAAGTTTGTGCCAAATCAAAGTACATCATATAAAATGGGACGGAGGGAGTAAAATATAATTATAATTTTATCCTCATTAAGTCTTAAAATATAATTTTTCATTAAAATATTTACATTATTAAACTATGAATCACCATAGATAATTTGAGATGGGCAGTATATCAGTTTAAAGCTTTTCTTTTCAATTTTTATTCTTTTGGGTGAAACAAATGTCACAACTACTGAAAAATAATTAAAATACCTACAACGTGAAGAATTAAAGATCTTGAAAATTTGGGAGTTGTTTATGTTCTTTATGTGTTTTTATTGTTCTTACGGAAGAAGAAGCAAAAAGAGTACTTTTGATCCAAAGACTTCAATCGAAAAATGTCACATTGTTTGGGATGTAAAAATAGTTTTGCAAAATCGGAGTTAAATAAAGTGGCATGAATGAGCTTTTTTCTTTAACAACAATGACAAAGATGAGTCAAAGTTTTAATGAATGACATAAATGAGTTTTTTCTGAAAGTTTAATCGTTTTCTCCTCTTAAAAATTATCTTTCTCCAAATTGTTGAGATTTTTTCTTGTTTATTACTTTTTCTTTTTCCACTATCATTGCCATATAAACAGGATAAAATTATTTACAACTTTATATTATTTAAAATTTGTGTATTATTAATTTTATTATATGATCAGATTCAGTATTATCGTAGCTACACAATTTGTGGAGGGCCATCTCTTTTTGGAGTACTTTAATTTTTTGTACCCCACATTTGCCCCTAGTACAACAACTCCTTGTGCCGTTAATACTGATATAAACGTCAAAATAAAAATGATAGTTCAAAATTAAAGTTATTTATGAAGTGGCTAAATATACAAATTATTATAAATTAATGGCTATATCTTAAACAGGGTCCAAAGAGTGGCTAATAAATGCATCACCTTCTTCCTTAAGTTCCTGCTAAAACCCTAGGCGCCATATTTCTCTGCAACATCAAACTCTTCACAATTTTTTCTTTCTGAATCTCTAATTAACTCAAACTCTTATTGGCTGAATAATCTTCTAGCGATAAGTTTGATTTTTGGTAATTACTTTGTGAATTTGTTTAATCATCCTTGTCTCTATTGTTGATTTGATTTCTTCTCATACTGATGTTTTTGTTTGTGGTTGTAGGTTAATAAAGCAATTTAAGAATGATAGCAGCTATTTCATGGGTTCCCAAAGGGGTTGCAAAGTCTGTACCAGCTGAGGCTGATCCACCTACAAAGGAGGAAATTGAACAGATTTTGAAGAGTGGTCTTTTTGATAAACGGTACATGTTAATTTTTTCATAATGTTTTTCCCCAATATCCGAAAGTGGTGAGAACCCAAGTTGAGGAGCCTAGAATGTAGGCAGAACTTATCATTACCTCGTGAAGGTAGAGAGGGTGTTTCCGAATAATGCATAATTGTTAGTACCAATTAAATTAGTTCTGCTGAAACGGCTAGGCTAAATATCAACCTGTTTCAGTGAGCATTATCAGAATGAATTAACCGTTCATGTGGTGTATTGCATGTTATTTGATTCGGCAACACTGATGCTTTTCTCATATCATACAATTCACAGGGAAAAGCTTTTTGCTGTGGGTAACACTCTGTTTGGATAGTTGTTATGTATTGTTTTATAATGTGTTGTGTTGTATTGCTTAAATGAATACAATGTTTGGATAGATTGTATTGTTCTTACCTACATAACGTCACACATCAATGATTTGGAAGATAAACCTTACAAGAAAAGTAGGATACAAGATAGAGCGAACAACTACAACATATTCTGTGTAATTCCGCAAAGTGGAGGTATGGGGAGGGTAGATTGTACGCAGGTGTGACCTTTAGCTCAAAGGTAGAATGATTGTTTCCGGTAGACCTTCGATTCAAGATACAAACAGTCTAGAAAAAGTAGTAGAAATAACGGAAACAACAGACAGTAATAAAACAACATATAGTAGGGAAGAGGATAAAATCAGGTTATTAAATAATAAGTAGTGATATAATGAGAAGAAAAAATTAAGCTAACTACTTGATCACACCAAATTGGTCATTACACGTAATGGTACTTTTCGTCGTTACCTAACGATAGATTTAATGATACAATTTAATAAAATTTAAGCAACAATCAGAACAAATATTGTATTTAAACTAACATTACAATACAATACAATACAATGGGTAACAACCATCCAAACGAGGTGTAAATGTAATTAACATTGACCGATTAAAAACCTATATTTCTTGGAATTAAACTTGATACTTACGTTCTGTGTAATCTTTACTTTGCCCTACTCTTGAAAGTCTGTTTCTTTACTCCCCTTCCAGTGAAGATAGTGATGACGAGGAGGCTGAAGAAGATATGAATGTTGATGAATCCGAGGAAAATGAGGATGATGAAGTTGCTATTGCATTAGCTGCTGCTGATGCACTTGGAAAGGCTACGCAAGTTTCTTCTGCAGGAACCGATGACATAATAGATGGTTTAAAGGAACTGGACATGGACAACTATGATGAAGAGGAGGAGGGTAAACTTAGTGCATTGACTCATATGTTGATTTGGGTTGAACATAGTTGTTTTTTTTAATATCTAATGTACTGGCAGTATTTTTTATATTCAACTCTTTTTGATAAGATAAATATTTTTCATATTGATTTTTCCCAAGCCTAGTTTATATCAATTTTTATTTGGAAAACTATTCCTAACTTTTCTCTCTTTTTGCATGATGTTTGACATTGTCAGGAATTGAGCTTTTTGGTTCAGGACTCAAAGACTTGTACTATGCAAGTAATGACATGGACCCATATCTCAAGGATAAGGTTGTACTATGATCAATTTGTTGTTTCATCATGTTTTATCCGTTCAAGTATTACTAACTCAGAAAATTATTCTTTCAGGACAATGACTCTGAAGAAGATGATGACATGATAATAAGACCTGATGATTTTGTTATAGTTTGTGCAAGCAATGAGGATGATGTCAGTCATCTTGAGGCAAGTAGAACTTACTTCACGACTCAACGGCTTGATAATACTTCCATCTGTATGGTCCAGGTAGTTTCATTTTGACTGCCCTTTGATTTGTGACTCTGATCTGTGCCAACAGATAATGATTTTGGAAGATCTATCAGATGCTGAAACAAACATGTATGTTCACCATGCTCTTATTATACCTGCATTTCCTCTTTGCACAGCATGGCTTGATTGCCCTATTAAAGGCGGGGAGAGAGGTATGGTTCTGGTTGAAGTTGACCTTCATGCTGCTGAAGTATTTTCTCTTACTGGTTTTGAACATATGTTACCTTTGAAAGCAACTTTTCATTTACTCATGTTAATAAAATGAATTATACGTTGATAGGTAACTTCATAGCTGTGGGGTTCAATGGAACCAGCAATTGAAATTTGGGACATTGACATAGTAAGTGACTCTACACTGATGTTTATGAATTCCTGAGTCACTACTGATCATATCTCACTGTCCACTTTCTCTGTAGATAGATGAGGTGCAACCATCTGTTATTTTAGGTGGCATCGCTGATATAAAGAGAAAGGGAAAAAAGGTAATTTAAGCAATTTGATCTTTCTATTCTTTGATCCAATTTTCGATTGGAATGCTCTTGTATGCTAGGTCAGCTTGTGCAGCTGAAATTTATTCTAGATGTTAAAGCCTAAAGGTAGGAAATACGTCAAGATTTTCATTGGTCATTCTCCATGTCATTGTGAACTAGTTTCCGGAGACTTCTATTTGGAATAAAGTAGTAGGCTACTGCAAACTTATAGAATCAACTAAAAAAATGAAAAAATAGTAGGCTATGACATTTTGCAATCGAAGATGGTTAGTGTGCTCAGGTTTATGTCTCCACTAGTGCCGATTGTCCCTCTTACTTCATACATGTGCGACATGCCAGATCTTGAATAATAGGTTTGTACTTTGTTGCTTGATATTCTGGAGTAGGAACTATTTGCATTAGTTATCTTACAGCCTCTAATTTATGGCCATTTGAGCAACCTGAGGTGGAACCCTACAAGGAGCTTTAGATTTGTACCAACAAGTCAAGTAGCTACCTTAACGGGTTTGGACTTCTGGTCAACCGGCATGTTCTTGTTTAACTTACTCTCCATGCCGCTACTCTATTTACTGCAACATACCGTACATGGCAGGCATATTGTGACTATCAGTGTTCATAATCTCAGTACCTTCTTTTGGTTAAAGCACCAGCTTTTATGTGAACCTCCCCCATCTGTCCTTGTGGGCATTGGCAATGCTCTTTTTGAGTGACAGATAGACACGAGGTAGGAAGAGAGACTTATAGTTGTTTCTGCATTTGGAATTAAATTGTCATATTATTTGGTTTGAAGAGAAACTTACTCTAAACCACTATTTTGTTAGTCCGTCATGGCAGCAGACAAGTGGGAATTATTTAATGCACACCAAATACCAATTGTTGAACCCCCCCCCCAAAAAAAAATGAAAATAAAATTATTACCTTAATATTTAAGAACATGAAAGAAGGCGAACGATTTACCAGTTTTTATCATTTGCATGGTGGTCTTTACTGAGTATATGATAATTGTCTGAGAAAACTTACTTTTATGCTCCATTTACCTACTTTGCAAATTTTCTTGCAGAAATCTATCAAATACAAAAAGGATAGCCACAAGGATGCAGTACTTGGTCTTTCTTGGAACAAGGAATATAGGTATGGTAATTTGATTGATGAGTGTTTGATGTTTGTCAGTGCATCTCTTTGAGACTTGGTCAAACTTCAAATCGTCTTATTCAACATTCTATGCAGGAATATACTTGCTAGTGCTAGTGCTGATCATACCGTCAAGGTTTGGGATGTGACTACCGAAGCCTGTAATCTCACTATGAATGACCATACCGACAAGGTAGAATTTAGAAAATTTAGCAGTTCTATAAACATCTCAGCGTGTTGTATCAGAACCCCAGTAACCTAGATAAAGTTAAAATATCTCATCTTTGCTAGAGTTTGGAATATTACTGACGAAAGTTGAATTACGTATAGAACATTAGACTAACTTGCTTACAAATTATTGAACGAAGTAGATTCATTGTCTTGCTATGTTTGACAGGTTCAAGCAGTTGCATGGAATCCATTTGCTCCACAGATTCTTCTGAGCGGGTCATTCGATCATACAGTTTGCTTGGTGATAGAACACTTCTCCTTTTTCCTTTTTTCCCCCCCTTTATTCTTGCAAGTTAGGACTGTGGATTAGTTTCTTACTTTAAGATGCTAATTAATGTTTCAACATGTCTTGCAGAAGGATGGGAGGAAACCCTCTCACAGTGGATTTAAGTTTTCAGTTGGTGCTGATGTTGAAAGCTTGGCTTGGGATCCGCATTCGGAGCATTCATTTGTGGTCAGTGCTCGCATCATGTTTGTTATTAATTCAATCTGTGTTGAGGCTTTATTTGCTTTGGTATGCTACAGGATAATATAATTCTTTTGATTCTGATATGGGAATCATTAGTGGAGAGATTGTTAACGATTCTTAGCATTAGTATGAGAACTGAGGATGGGATTGGGGGTGGAATGTTATTGAAATTAAGTTTGACAACTAGTTTACTTTTCCCTCGTGCATATTAGTTTTATATTTTTTGCTTGTTGAACTTTTTGACATATATTATTTATTTAATACAGAAAATTGGAAGTATTTATTCGCCTCCGAGTCTCTATGGACTTAAATGAAAATAAGCACTGGATAAATTCAAAACGCCGCATAATTATGTTTACCCTTGGCTCGATCACTAAATTTCTGTACCTTATAACTGCATGACATCTAAGCGTTTTTTGGGAAGGATGAATAAATTCATTTTAAAGTCAGGTCAGGAATCTCATTCTTGATGTATATTAGATACTAAGAAATTGCTAACCAAATCAGAGTTCCTTAAAACTTTCAGGTCAGCTTGGAGAACGGTACCGTTACTAGTTTTGATATCCGTGCTGCTAGTTCTGCTTCGACTTCTGAGACAAAGCCAAGTTTCACCATCCATGCTCATGATAAAGCAGCGTCCTCGTTGTGCTTCAATCCTCTAGTCCCAAATGTAAGAGGGACTTTTTTTTTCTTTTTTTTTTGGCTTTACCCTTATTTAATGTTTCCTTTTCAACATTTGTCTTCCTCACTTTGCTCGTGTATTGTTGGGCAGCTTCTTGCAACTGGCTCCACGGACAAGATGGTACGCTCTATCTGTCTCTGCTGCTTATTACCTAGTTTTGATATATTCCGTGGGATGAGAGCTATTTTGGTTATTAATTTGATAAATGTGCTGCAGGTTAAATTATGGGGATTTGACCAACAATCAACCTTCTTGTATCGCATCTAGGAATCCGAAAGCTGTATGTGATTTTCAAATGTTTTGTGGTTCTTAAAAATTCAAGTTTGATGCTTATATTTCCTCAAACCTGTTATGAAAAAGGTTTTAGATGGTTGCTTAGATTCTCTTGTTTTATATTATTCTCAGGGAGCCGTCTTCACTGTATCCTTCTCAGATGATTGCCCCTTTTTTCTTGCTATTGGTGGCTCTAAAGGAAAGTTGCAGGTGCGTTCTGTTCCTTTTGAAACTTTTGGTTAGTTCTGGTAAATCCCCCAAACCTCCTATTTTTTGGAACACAACATAAAGAGTTATTGGTTCTAATAAGTAATCTCTGGCAATTAATCAACATTTGAAGTTTCTGTGCTTTTGAGCTGAGAACTTTGTCTTTGCTTATCGTTTCCAGCTATGGGATATTTCGTCTGAAGATGCCGTGTTGAAGAAATATGGGAAATACGTTGCACAGAAAAAGCAGTCGCCCAAATCATAATGCAAATGTATTTATGGAGATATTGGTTATGAGTTCTAAAAGTGAAAATATAGCCCCCCCATTATTTACATATGAGCATGGAAAATTTTGCTGTTGCTGCACATTGCCTGGACCAAGTGAAAGAGGAAAGTGAAGAGTTTGGTGGAATCAAGATAGCTGTGTGTATTTTTTTCTGGACATAACCAACACGAGTTCATTGAACGTATCGTAATGGAGATCAGGTAGAGTTATCTTGTACTTGTGTTGGTTGAAGGTATTAGATTTTCGATGATGTATTAGTTGACGTCTAGCTAGCTGTTTGAACACCATCATTATCTAGAAAAAGAAAATACATTTAAGATGTTGGTTGATTTTTTTATTTATCAAAGTCTAGGGTAAAATATGAATGTAGGACAATCTGGTTCTATTTTTACATGGTTCCTTTTAGAGCCAAATATGAGGAAATGCATTACATATTGTTAATTTTCATAGCATAGCTGTTTGTGAAAATCAGAAAAAATTTCATTCTCAAGAACTCGAATGTATGACATATGATTAATAATTGACTAAATTCAAATTCCTGTATTATAGGATGAATTTCGGGTTAATATCTCAGATGGTCACTCAACTATCCAGTCTTTTCTCAGAAAGTCACTCACATAGTGATTTTTTAGTGAAAATTAAAAGTTGAGTGACTTTCTGAGCCAAAAGTGGATAGTTGAGTGATCATCTAAGGCATTAACTCGATGAATTTCTTAAAATGATGCTTTCAATTAAAAAAATAAAAAATTCTGAAGAACTTGAACGTAAGAACATCTGATTGAGGATCTCAACTGTAATTTCACAAGTAGATATATTTCTTAGACATTTATTCAAATCTTTATTATGTATAGTAGGAGAAATATTGTTGCTACTTAGTACATGCATAAATATAATTGCAATATATTTGTTATCTTATAACATAAAAGCTATTTCTATTTCTTCCACCCCATAGAAAATAGAAGATAATTAAAAGGTGAAGGGTAAAATGATAAAAGAAAGGATCTCAACGTTTTTCAGTAGCAAGCTACGGTCTAACGATCCCCTAATCTAGGTTGGGGCGAAAACTCTAAAGTTGTGAATGACACTACTAATCAGTAATGATAGAGGTGAGATGATATAAATTTTCGTTTAATTTTTTTTTTCCCGATATAAAGCATTTTTTTATAATAAATTTTATGCAACATGAATTGGAATTATTAGAGTCTTGAAATATTTCTTTTAATGAACTTTACATTGGTGCAAATCCGACATAGTTGATATCCGAAAATGAATATTCAAACATCGAATGGAAAACATAATTCTAGTCTAAAAATAATCTATAAATTTTATGAATTCACCCTTTAAAATTCATTATATTTTTAAAATTATAAATTCATATTACAATTTTAGTGAATTAAAATTTATATTTTACATTAAAATTATGATTTTAGACAAACTCGTTAACATAAAGCTGCATCGGTCCCTGACATTAGTCATCACATGAAAATGTTGTTACATGTGATGGAACATAAATTATTGATTAATGATAATGATAATGACAAATGACAATATTAACCTTCATTGACTCATAGTAGAGGAATAAATTACAAAATTATTTGCAGAAAAAAATGAACGATTTGATTGTCATAAACTTCGTATATATTTTTGTGAAATCAATCTTTTTTTATAAAGTTTGTTTCTCCGATAACTAACAACTTGTTTTGTTTGGCACTTAAATTTGATTAAATTATATTGTTAAATTCATTGTCATGCAACAACAAACACATACATTTAACATGATTCGGTAAGCCGATCTACATCCACAAGAGAAGAAGAGCAATTCACAATATAGGGGGCGTTAAAGTTCTATCTAAGGAAAAAATTTGTGAGACACAACAAACATCTAACTAGCACAAACTTTTTTGCTTTATAACTAGCCTAAGACCAAAATTTTAGTACTCCCACTATATTTCAAAATACAAATTTTAGTGCGCACATATATATATATATTTTCCCACCTGAAGTTTGGAGTCCGCATTGAAGTTTTGACTAAATCCGAATCACGCACTTAAATCTGAAACTTCTGAAATCCGAATCACGCACTTAAATATATGGTCACATGATTTGACAAGCATTAGGATTTTCATCACTAAACATCGAGGTGAGCCTTTGAGTAGGGGTATTTGGTGTTTGAAAAGCTTGTGGAACATCCCTTACATAGCCAGAGGGTGCCTTTTTGTCATATGCACCTATTGCATATGGATATGACACCAAATTATATTCAACATATGGCCAAAATTCTGCCTTTTTTCCTGTATTTTGCACCCTTTTTAACACCTTTTTTGGTTCAATATAACCACTTACTGTTACTTTGCTTTGCTTTCTACTTACATCCACTGATTTCACACCTAAACACAAATAATTCAACAATAAAAATGATCAAAATCAAGTTATGTATAAATGATTATTGTCCATAAAATGAGATTAGTAATATGGAATATACATATATGTATATACAAGTCTTGGTACCTATTTCAATATTAAATTAAATATATTGATATAGTTATAAATTAAATTTATCCATGACCAGAATGAAATTTGAGTGAAATAAGTGGAGCTCTGAACTGACTGACGTTGTAGAATCAAGTATGATTGTGGTTGGGAGTGAGATGTCATTTTGCGATTGTAGAATTAAGTACATGTAATTGAACGGTTTAAATGAAATTTATCATTGTTTGCGACTATATTCTACAATAATAATAAGAAAAAATATATATGTAAAAGCCAAGATTAGTGAAAAATGAACCTTTAATAGATGAAACTGCATTAGTAACCTTCCTTTCACATCCATCACAATCCATTTTCACCTTAATTTCAACTGTCTGAAATAAAATTTATAGAAAAATAAATTAGTTTAAAAAATAATTAAAAGAAATTAAAATAAATAAAAACAAAAATTATTATATGTAGCATGCAAATTAAATTACCTGCATTGGTTTACGTTTGCTCTTCCTAGTACTTGTAATCTCAAACATATCTGATATGTGATCAATAATACCCATTTTATTTTTTCTTACAAAAATATTATTATATAGAGGGAAGAAAGATAGGTTAATTAATAAATTATTGTTGAAGAATTTATAAGAAGCTTGATGTAAAAATGCTAGTATTTATAGTACTAAATTTGTGAAAAAAATTTCTTGAAGAGTTGTCAATAAGCTGTATTTGAAGAAAATATTTAAAAACTCAAGAAAGTGACTTATGTCGACTAATCATAGCATAATCACAAAAAAATATCAAAGTTAACTTGGATAACTATGCAAATTGGAGGGGTAATGATTGGAAACCCCAATTATTCAATTATAACAAAACGTTGTTGGTGCTGTTTGAATTTCGAGAGTAAATAAATAAAAAATCTATTAAAAATACTTTAATTTGTTAATTATAGTATTTTTTTTAATTCAAAAATATGGTTTAGTGGTCAAGACGTAAGTTGAAAATCATGAGATCGCAGTTAGAAACAAAAATTACTAGGTAACTTCTTTTTACTTGTTTTAGTACTAATGGATAGAGTTACCTCATTAATGATAAAAGATAACACATATATATTTCATACGTTAAATTTAGATGTACGTAAACTGACTTGAATATCACGAAAATATATTGAAAGTTTTAAAATTCATGTATGTGATGATTACTATCCTCTCTGTCAAGAACCAACGCGTTTAGGCTACTCGGTATATCATAGTTATATACTTTGTAAACAAATTATGCAGCAATGATTTTCTTTTATCTGATGTGAAATAAATAAGATCCCTTCATTCTTAACATATTTAGTTTATTCAAGTTTGAACATACAAAATTTTATTAGTCGGGACAATGAGCTCTAAATACTATGCATAAATTAAATAAAAATATAATTTCTCAAGACAATTTGCGTATACTTTAAATATTCTATAGGATATGTGTAATGTCCATAGCTCTATGTATCAAAATTTTCAGACAAATAAAAAGAAATCACCTAAATTATTTTATTTTTATTGAAACTTGAATTTTAATCACTTACTTCATTGACCGTTAAGTCATATTTTTAAATAATTTTTTTTTTGGATCAATCAATCAAAATAAAAAAATCTAACTTGTACAAGAAATCAACTAAAAACATATCATGTTGTAGGCCAAGAGAAATTTGCTGCTAGACAGGGACATGTCTTTTCATACCAAAGTGCCAAGTTTTATTTTCTTCTATGCTAAGTCACTTCTAATTTGTATAGTTTTTGTTCACTTATGGTGATTGGGATTATTGATTTTATATATTATTAATTATAAACTATAGTTCAAAAGGTTCGTACAATCAATAACCAGCTAGCTAGAGCCCTTATTAAGAAAATACATAAACATACATAGTTATATTCACATTAAAATTCCACAAATTCAACCTTTTAAGGTTCTTAACATTGAATCATTCGTACTATAAATTTATGTGTTCAGATTTATTAATTATTATACTGATCTACGCTAATAAAAATATTAGCTTAAGATGAATTAGATGATGCAAATTTTGTTGACTATACCCAAATGAAGTGTAGGATTATACGATATGATTTGGCTACATTTAATAGGCTCAATTAATTTATTTATTTGAGACTAAAGTGATAATATTTTAGGAAATATGAGGATAATGTAAGTGGACAAGTATATATTTTCTCCATTTATTTCAACAATATCTAAGCTCTCAAATAATTAATTTAGCTAACCCATTAAATATTGACACATCATATTGTATAATCCTACACTTCATTTGTGTATAGTCCACATAATTAAAAAAAAAAAAACAGGAAAAAAAAAACAAATATATATGTTGCCCATAAGTTGGGACAATTAAGCAAATGTGGCAGTTTATTCTTTTTCCTTTACTTATCTTTGTGTGTTTGATAGATGACTTATAGTTAGGAATATTAAATGATGTCCTGCAATTAAATAGACAAAAGTGGGGTATAATAAGGTTTTTATATACATAAATATCACATTTGTTTGTAATTATGAAAGGCACCAACATAGATCGTAGTACAGCGGTGAGACTATTTCATCTTTAACTAAAAAATTTGAGTTTGACTCCTAAATATGGAAAAAAAATTGTTGGGAGCATCACCTTCGAAATAGATATTTAATACTCCCTCTGTCCCATTTTATGTGGCAACATTTCCTTTTTGGTCAGTCCCAAAAAGAATGTCACATTTCCTTGTATGGTAAGTTTATAAAGGTACAATTGCTCTTTTATCCTTGTTGGTCCCACTTAATCTTAAAATAATACTCCAATACATTTATGAGGAGAGAGAAAAAAGAGTCTACTTTTTAAAGGGCAATTTGGTAAACATTTCAAAGTCTTCATTTATTTCTTAAACTCCGTGCCCGATCAAATGTTGCCACATAAAATGGGACGGAGGGAGTAATTTTTTTCGGTGCGGAACTGGTAGTTGGGGAAGTCATAGAAGTAGTAGTGTGGTAGGTGGTAGTGTGGTAGGTGAGTAACTTATTTTAAAGATTTTATGGTCAGTCCCAAAAAGAATGTCACATTTCCTTGTATGGTAAGTTTATAAAGGTACAATTGCTCTTTTATCCTTGTTGGTCCCACTTAATCTTAAAATAATACTCCAATACATTTATGAGGAGAGAGAAAAAAGAGTCTACTTTTTAAAGGGCAATTTGGTAAACATTTCAAAGTCTTCATTTATTTCTTAAACTCCGTGCCCGATCAAATGTTGCCACATAAAATGGGACGGAGGGAGTAATATAATAGTCTAGTTATATATATATACACAAATTAGCACAGATACTATCATTATTTTAAAAAGCTGTATATACACTTTGGTCGTCCTGATCCAATAAAGTCTTTGTCTTAACACGAGAAGTGTGGAAAAATATTGTAGTGTGTAATGAGATTAGTGTTATGAAAAAACGAGCTAAGACGAAAAAAATATTTTTAGTTCCAACTAAATTACTATTCATAATTAAAAAAATTTATAAAGAAGGAAGATATTCTATATTCATTTTGTGATTAAAAATTTTTTTATTTTGCAAAACCCCTCCAATTTTCCCAGTTACTTTGATATTTTCTATATTCATTTTGTGATTAGCAGACATAAGTCATTTTGTTGAGTTAAAAAATGTTGGTTAGCTTGTAGACAACTCTTCAAGGTGTACTTTTTCATAACTTTAGTGCTATAAAATATAAATACTGACATTTTAAACCAAGCTTCTTATAAAATTTTCAACATTAATTTACTACATTCTCTCAAACAAGAAATAATAATATTATGGAAATAAAAAATGACATGGGAATTATTGATCACATATAAGATATGTTTTGAGATTACAAGTACTAGGAAGAGCAAACGTAAACTAATGCAAGTAATTTAACTTTACCTCTGTTGACACCCAATTTTGACCCTTTCGAGCTTCTTAGATTCCAAACAATTTAAAAAAAATTGTTTTATAAATTTCAAAAATAGTTTGCAAATTTAGTTTTACTTAAGTTTTGTCAATTAGTTTAGTTAATTAATAGTTAATATTTTCGAATTAATTAGTTTAATTATGTTATTTTGTTAAAGATTAAGAAGCTTGTTAATTAATTGAGAACAATCCATCTTATTTTAATTTTGGGTCGAATTTAACCAATTGCACCAATTTGATTAAGATTGCAAATTCATGGGGTTATTTTCTTAATTCAAATTGACCACACTATGCTCCATTTTCAAATTCCCAAATTGCTATCTCCAAAACCTTTTCCTACGGATACAGTAGCCCACCAAAAGACCCATCCCACTTCTTAATCTCTACTTCTAATGGTCTTTAATCAATGTACTAAGTTCGTAATAGGCTTCTAATGTTCCCTTGTCTTCTCTTGAGCTTCAAGATTATTATTATTATTATTATTATTTTTTCTTTAGAATGCGGTAGTATACAAATTTCAGAATATTATTTGGGTGTTTTCTCTTATATTATTCATGACTCTCATTTCAAAAACCAGATTTGGGTCCAACCCTCTTTCCCTTTTCACTTTACTGTGTTTGTTTTGCTTGTTAGTATTTGTCGTTAATCTTAGGGTTGAAAAGTTCAAATCCCCGAAAGACGCTCATTTCGTTTTAACAATATAACTAAATCAGTCATCTCTAAATGGACTTAACTAAAAAATAGTTCAATTTAAGTTAAGTTAAATTACTTTAGCCAAATAATTAATTGTCGAATAACCACATTAGTGGATATTCTAGATGTTTTAAAAAACCTTCCTAGAATGTTAATAAGAGCCTCGAACCCCTTTACAAGTTTTCACTAGATTCCTGTTTTAGTCTTGTGGAAATGAATAGTTTTCTTGATTTTTTCTTAAAAATTAAGTGGCGACTCTAAAATCAGTCTTAAATTATATTTTAAATAAAACAGCCTCTAGCAGATATCTATGCCCTCGAACTTTGGATGTTCATATGTAGACACTTAAACGATATAAAGTTGAATAAATAGACTATTGACAGATTGTGCTTCTATCTTCGAGCAAGTTAGACAAATATACATCTCCGGGGCTAAAGGAACTCTTGATCTTATTGGTCAACTCCACCGCCCTCTTCCGCATCTCTTCCCCTTTCGTTGTATCCATCAAAATTTTGACAGATTTCTCGATTGATTCTAATGTCACTAACTTGTGAGTCCAGCTAAATAGTGAGATTTCAAATACAACTACAAATCATCGTATACAAATACAAATCAAACGAAGAATTGTTAGTTGTGAATTATACAAATGTGGCTAATTAATTATACAAACTTGAAGTCATCCCACGTAATTAATAGTTAATGTTAGTCGCGAATGGTAATTATAGCAAATAATAGATGTGATGACTAATTAAGTAGTAAAAGTTTGCTTAACCGCATTATTTTCTCTTTAAAATACCCCTCATATATAATTTTCCCTTAACAATTGCCCTTTACGATTACAAATATTCATTCTTTTAACGAAATTAGGAAATAATATATGTTGAATTTTACTTAAATATATGACATTATTTTATTGGTCCTGGTCCATGTGGGTATTAGACTCGACCTATAAATAATCTGATTCATCTGAATTTGTTTGTTCGA